TCTCGAGCCGAGTCACCTATCAATGCACAATTTGGTTCAATAACCTCATATGATGACTCGACCTCTTCATCAACCTCATCCTCGTAACAATGGACTACCTTCTCCTCCTCCTCCTCATAAGTGTCCTCCCGAGCTCCTTCAACAACACTCGGCACAATCAAATCCTCTCTTGAATTATCCCCCATGCCATGCACCGTGTCGGCCTCCGAGTACATACACTCAATCTCATTGAAGGATGCAATCATATCCACCAATGTTCGAAACTCGCCCTCCAACCGTGCGCTTTCTCGACAAACCTCCGCCGATAGAGAAGCATACCTACCAAGCGGGATGTGAGATGTGTCCAAGTCGAGGAAGGTAACTACGGTTAAGTCGAATTCCGTTAGTTGATTTTGGAGACCGGATGGAACGGGAATGATCCCCCAATTGTTAAACTCATCTACAACCGACAGGAGGTTCGCGAGCCTGTCTCGAGTATTTGCCAAAACCTCTTGGTGATCGTCGGTTGGATCAACCCTTATTTGACTTGAAGTCTCGGTTCTCAATGAACAAGGTTGGCCAACCGATTGGTTCTCGTAGATAGGAGGTGGTAGATTGTAAGACTCGGCGTCTTCTTTTTCGGATGGGGACACCTTTGAAGTACAAATGGATAGAAATGATTGATTTAACTTCTCCATTTTCTCAAAAATCTCGTCTAAACGGCTCGGAGAAGCTACTTGAGTTGGCTCGGGTGGAGGCATTGAATCGAAATATGCGGGAGGCGGAGGGTAGTAGTCGTACGAAGATGGCGGTTGGTAATAAGGCGACTCGTATTGATTCGGAGCGTAATAACCATATCCGCCTTGAGACGTCGGGTAAGAATGGCTCGGGCCATACCCTTGGGATGTAGTGTATCCGTCATGGTAATAATGATTTGAATGGCTCGGATACGGATTGGGCGGCCCTCCATACGAATACATCTCCCTTTGATAATTGTCGGGGTATCCATAAGACAAATTTCCGGCATAGGAATAATCGTATGGATTCATCGGAATTCCTCAAGCAAATACCTCGCACAAGAACAAAAACAAAACAACCAAAGGCACACGAGGCAAAAACAAAAACAAACTAACACGGAACGATATTCACAACAACACAAATATCAAAAGCAAGAGAAATATCAAATAAACAAATAATCAAGAGAAACACAAAAATTAAGTAAATATCACAAGAATAAGAGAAACACGAAAAATAAAACCAATACCAAAACTAAATATCCTACTTGCCTTCCCCGGCAACGGCGCCAAATTTGTTGTAGCAAATTTTTTTATTTTTTTACCGTGTACCGAATCGAAGGATTCGTTACCCGAGTCGATCTCTCGAGGAAGACTGTTCGGAATTTAGCGTTGGTCTTGATCACACACGAAAAGAAAATAAGTAATAAACACTCTAATCACGATTGATTTTGGGGAACCAACTAAAACAATCTAGAACTAGAAAAACAATTTAAAGAAATAACAATTAAATTCCTAGAGAAAAAGAAGAAGGTCTAGGGGTCGGGAAATCTCATCAAGTCTTAAACTATGTTGAACGCTTATTTGTTCGGTTATGAGGTTAAACAAGCCTACACGTCTAGAGGGCTATGCTCAATAACTCTTCGTAACAAGAGCACAAACATAAACGATAAATTCATTCAAACAAGCAACACATAGACAATACTTTTACGAACATGTCTACTCTATACGAGCCTAAATCGACCGACGTCTCCCCTCTCGGTTCTAAACGTCGATTAACTAGGTTAGAATGGTGATCAATCAACTAACCATATAATTCACACAACTCGTATAGATTGAACAAAACACATTCCTCATAATTCAAAACAAGAATCAAAATCCCTAACCCTAGGTGAATGGATTACCTCATGCTTAGATTCAATTTCATGTTAATCGGAATTAAGAACATAAAACCAATCAACAATAATAAAATAGAATTGAAAAACTTACAATCGGATTAAGAGTTGCAAGATTTCAATCCAAATAACTTTGTGTCCAACAATCCAAGCATGAGAGAAAAAAAAAAGAAAAGTGGAGAAATTTATCCTAACAATATTGAGTTTTTGGAGAGAAAAATTGAAAGGAACAATATTGGGGATTGTTCCTTAGGTCTGGGTGATCGTTTTGATATATAGTGCTCGAAAAACGGAGCTAAAACGAGCAAAAATAAAAACAGGGTCGAACAGGTCGCGACTCGCGAGTCGCGAGTCGGACGGGTCGTGGGGTCGCGCAGCTGGTCGGAGGCTCTGTTTTAGTCGCGGGTCGCGACTTTGCTCTCGCGAGTCGCGACGTAGGCTCGCGAGTCGCGACTTTTCTCTCGCGACTCGCGACTTTGGACTGCACTGCGCCATTTTACGTTTCGGGTTCGTTTGGGCTCATCCGAACTCGGAATTGAGTTCCGTTTTTTGCTACGTGACACTAACAAACCCATCTATCCAATTGTGCTCTCAAAACCAGCTTTTCTTGAAGAGAAAATTCGCTCGAAGCTCCTGGGACCTACACACCAAAAACGACAAAACACAAAAGAAAACTGGAAAAACAAATGGAAAAAACACCTAAAGACTCAAGATGAAGGAAAACACATAATAAAACATGAAACGGACTAAAAACTAAAGAAAGGACCTAAAATGGGGGAAAAAGAAAGATAAAATAAACACAAAAAACGCAACAAAAATAAGACAAACAGTTTAACTGGCACACATGCACTTAACGCTGGATTTCATTAAGAATCGCCGAATACGTATAGCACGCAAGTTGTTTGTGCGCGAGTCTATCAAACAATGCCCAAATTTCATTAAAATCTATCCTTAAATTGATTTTTTTTTTATTAATAGATAAAAATTACTGTCCTCTATAATTGGTGGCTAAATTTTGTTAGGGTCAAAAGTTATAGTAATTTCGTGCATGCCTAGGAGATAATTTATAAATGAAGTTGAAAGAAAAATACATCACAACCACAATCTTTTGGGTGCGCACTGGGTCAACTTGCCAAAATTGAAACCAAATAAATCTAAACCAAATCTTGCTATTGCCATATTCCCCTAATCCACAAGATTTGAAGTTAAATTTGTAAGGTTAGATTCATGTTTGAGACTCCATGCAAAAGATGCAATATTTTCCTATTGATAAAGACCCTCTTCCATTGTTCCCTCACCTCACCTGCCCTTCAAACTTTTGCATTCTCACTTATAATATCACTACATTTTATCATAATCCTCCTCCAACTATATAATATATACACACAAGTTATACAAATTACACAAATTGAAATTCATAAAATATGAGAAGGGAAGCTTATTATTCTAAACCAAAAGTTTTGATTTTGGTAGTGATAATTTATTGTTTTGTGATTGATGGGCTCTCGGGTCTGGGCGGATCGTCAGAGTGCAGGGTCCCCCAGTCGGAATTTGAAGCGTTGGTGAGGTCCACCATCAGTGTCGTCCGGAAGGTGGCCGACGTCGTGTCTTTATTTTCCACCGATTTCCAGCTCAAGGATGCCGCCACCGACTGTTTTGAGATGATGGACTCAACCGTTGACCTGTTGACCTCTGTACTGTCTCTTTCCAAAATTCCAAATGGTACTTCCATAATAATATAGTATTCTTTTTGTCGGATTAAATTAAGTTAAAAAAAAAAGTAATGCTATTTAACTCACTTGGATGACAACTTGTGTTACAATGCATTTACACTTGAGTTATAACACTAATTGTGCAGAAATATATACCGGCAATGACGTTCATGGCACCGGAGATTCGATCTCCGACATGAAATGTTGGCTAAGTGGAGCACTTGTCAACCAAGTCACCTGCAAAGAAGGGTTTGATGGCACCAACAGCCACCTCCAAACCCTAATCTCCAGCGACCTCGACCACATCACCTCCGCCCTCACAAAACTCGTCTCCATGATCAAACCGAGTCGAAAGCCAGTCCCCAAAGGAAAATTCCTGGATTGGCTGAAATCCCGAGACCAAAAACTTCTCCAAGCTCCCGGCAGCTTGGTGGCCGACGTGGTAGTGGCGACGGACGACACCGGAAACTTCACAAGCATCACGGCAGCCATTCAGGCGGCCCCAGAGCGTAGCCGGACAAGGTTTGTTATTTATATAAAGCGAGGCGTGTACAAGGAGTACATTGACAATATTGATAACAAAAAATGGAATATAATGTTGGTCGGTGACGGTATGGATGCCACAATCATTACAGGTGACCACAGCAACGCTACCGACTGGCGCACTTACAAATCGGCTACTTTCCGTAAGATATTATTTATTTATTTAATTTTCCTTTCCCAATATATATAATGTTAGTTATATAGTAGTTGTATTATGTATTGTAGGGTTAGATTAGATTAGATTAAGACCCAACATAGTGAAGCCCATCTTTTGTCTTTATATACATGTACATACCTTTGTGATTGATAAATCAGATATTTTTCCACATTGTCACATGGTATCAGAGCAGATAAGCATTGTTTGTTACATGCAGATACGAAAGGTGTCGGATTCATAGCCCGGGACATAACGTTCGAGAATACGGCGGGACCTGAAGAAGGACAAGCCGTCGCTTTCCATTTCGAGTCCGACCTGTCTGTGTTGTACCGTTGCGGATTCAGGGGATTCCAGGACACTTTGTACGCTCACACCTGTCGTCAATTTTATCGAGAGTGTAAAATCACGGGCACGGTCGACTTCATATTCGGACACGGCACAGCTGTTTTCCAAAACTGCGAGATCGTGGCCCGAAAAGGTCTCCCGGGCCAAAAGAACGTAGTCACGGCCCAAAGCCAACCAAATTTAGACTATAATTCGGGCTTTTCTATCCAATTCTGCAACATCACGGGTGAGCCCGATTTGGTGGCTTCCGTGGGCTCGAACCCAACTTACCTCGGCCGGCCGTGGAGCATTTACTCGCGCACGATCGTCATGCAGTCATACATTAGTGATGTCGTTATGACCGAGGGATGGCTCGAAATGGAGGGGACAACGAAAACCGACAGTTTGTACTTCGGGGAGTACATGAACTACGGGTCGGGGGCTGGATTGTCGGGCCGGGTTAAATGGGCCGGTTACCATGTGATTAATGACCCGGATGAGGCGGAGAAGTTCACGGTGGCCCAGTTCTTAATAAGCGGGGACCAATGGCTGCCTTCGACCGGGGTGAAGTACACGCGCGGGTTGGGGATTTGAGATTCATCAAGAATTATTGCCATAAACAAAAGAAAATCGAACACGGAATGATTAATTTGATGTAATTAAGGAAATATATGATGCTGTGATTCTTGTGCACATGTCGTTGCATAAACTAAATAGAAACGCTTGTTATAAATTTACAAAGAATAGTAAATAAATTAAAAAATGGACGGTCAAAATTATTCCCCACATAATTAGCATTTATGTTGGTACTTTTTTTATCCGTTTATTTTGCAAATATTAAAAAAGTTGTAACAATAACAAATTCAAAAGAATAATAAAAAAAAAAAGATGAAAACCTCCAATGGTCATTGATGTGGCGGTTGGCGGATCTATACGAACCTATGCGAACCGGCAGTTGGAACCATGGTTTATAAAACCGGAAAGGGTCGTCTGGTCTGACGCGGTCTGACCGGTTGGATCGGGAATTGATTAGTTGACCAGTCCAGTTCGCTGGAATGAATCTGTTGCCAGTTGTCAACGACTGATTAAATCGGTCAAAATTAGTCAGGACCGTCCAAAATTCGGTCCGATCGGACTGGTTTGAACCACTCTAGTTTTTTTTCTTTTCTAATAAATTTTAACATATTCAAATTACTTTTAATATAAATAAGAAATGCATATTTAAATATAATGAATATATTATAGGTTATTATTATTTAATTTAAGTATTTGAATGGTTCAAATTGTATAATTACAAGGGTAAGGTCTGCGTACAACTGACCCCCCAGACCCCAACCTGTTGGGAATATACTGGGTATGTTGTTGTTGTTGTTGTATTTGAATGTTTCAAATTGACTTAATATTTAATGAACAAAATTTTATGTATAATTTTTATTATATAAAATATTATATAATTTTAAAAATATTAATAAATTAAATATCGATCAAACAGGTTTAATCATTGGTCGGATCAGTAAATTATTGAACCAGTAGCTTGACCAGTTCGATGACTGGTCCGGTTTTCTGAACTTTGGTTGGAACACTTTGACCATCCGAGTAAGCTAACAACTTGCAAAACAAGGGTTGAAAAGAGTTCCCGGTGTGAGTACTCCAACGCTCAAGTCAGTTATCGAAAATGAGAAGAATATAGTTGATGTACCTGAAATATCGACTCACCAAGATTGTTGGTTGAACCGCCTCGTCTCGACCGCGTTGTACCACGAACTAGATCAACCTACAAATTGACGGGGGCGGGTTCCAGCGTAGACACTCCGACACTCAAATCAGAAATCTTATATCTCAAAATACCATGAGAAATTTTATTGAGAGCTTATGCTTAAAAATTAAACTTGGATCTCTTATTCACAAGGAGTTTAATGATTTACTCCCAAAGAGTTTTCTTAATTAATAACCAAGGAGTTCGATCCTCCAAAATCATTGTGTAGATATACAAACTTACTTGGATATCTCTTACTGTTGTTTCCAAAATTGTAACACCCCGATTTTCAAATGACAAATATTGCATTTTAAAGGGGCGTTAACGGAGTTTGAAAAACTATACTCAAACCAAAATCAACATTTTAATTTTAAATACAAAGGTGTTTCAATATTCATCGCACTGTAATAAAATAACTCATAAACAACTTAACAACTTAAACTTTGAGAACTCAACTCGACAACTTTATCACATCCTTAAAATGCAATCATAATCATGAATTTCATATCGTAGTAAAAGACGAACGGAAACGTAATGCGTTCAAACCCAAATTTCAAAGTCTCAAAGCCAATTCATTCATAAAATACCCAAGTTATGAGAAAACCAGCAATAAATATAAATATAAAAAGTTCATAATAAAACTTTCACTTTGATACCATCATAGCGAACAAGTATTCTGAAAATAATTTTAGGCACTAAACATAAAAAAACCATGTATTACATGAAATTTTACAATTTAAGTCACTTTTGAAAAAAATAAGTACCGAAAACAAGTACTCCTTATTCAACATATAAGTATCAGAACAAAATCATATTTTTAACTTTAAAGGAGCCTTATTCTAACTAGGTAGTAGACTAAGAAGATTTCGTTTAGGAACGGATCACAAAAGTGATTATAGGATTTGATTTTTTTCTATAAAATACCATAAATAAACGATAAAAAAATAGTTAAATACTTCAAGGGCATATCGCTAGTAGGCATCTCAATTAAATTCACAGGGTCGGGTTACTCGTATTTTTGAGTCGGGTTCGGGTAGAATTATTCTACCCGAACACCGGGTTGCGTTAAATTGATGATTAAATTAGATTATTTATTATAAATATGAATTGATGATAAACTTTTATTTTATTTTTAATGATTTTTTTTTTTATCAATTTTTGTTAATTGTAAAATAAAAAAAATTAAATACTTAATATTTAAATGTTATATTATTAGGTAGACTATAAAAGATAAATAATTATATCTCATTATTTATTCCACCAATAATAAAACTTTTTTTTTATAGTTTTTTGTTGTCAAACTTAGTTAATAATTTGTTTGTTACATTTATTTTTCACATGAAGCGGGTTGAGTCGAGTTGACACCTAGTAAAGCCCAAATTTAAGAACTCGAGTTACTCATTTACCCGACAAAAACCTGCTAACCCACTGGGTAAAACCCGACCCAAACAGATCAATAGTCGGCTAACTAATCGAGTTTGGGTATGGTAAATTATATGCGGGTCGAGGGCAAGTTTTGACCCATTTACATCCCTAAGATTCACTAGAGGAGCTTGTTGTATTCTCTGAAGAACAAAAATTGGAAATCCAGATTTATCATATCATTCACTAGTCTACCGTGGAAGAATTATACAAAAGCTAGTTGCTATACCATTTATCCATAACTACGAATGCTAACCACAAAAACTAAAAAGTAACAACATTAATAAGGATTATACAAACTAGTTGTCATACTATTGATCCATAAGTACAAACGCCAACCACAAAAAACTGAATAATAACATGAATAAGGCAAACTCAAAAAGTACATAATTGCGTATCTCGAATACATTCAAGCGGAAAAACCATCATCTGCATCATATCCTCATCTTCTTCCCTTGATGTGGCTCGTCATCATAAGCCCTCGAGTCATCATTTTTGTCACCACCCTCACCCTTCTTGCGGGCAATGATCTTGTTTATCTTGTGAAGGTCATTTGTAAGCTTCTGATCCCTGTTCTGTTTACGGGTCTTACGGCCATCTTGCATCTTCACGCCAAACTGGAATGCAGCTTTCGGCATTGCCTCCTTCTGCTCGTTGTACTTAGCCCAATCCTCCTCCGTTTCAAAGTCCCACCTGTGGAGCCGGCCCTTTGCCTGTTTCAACAAATCAAAACTCGACATTTTTACTATATGCCACACCATAACACTTGTAATGGTAACTCTATTTTACTATACAAAATGATTTATAGTTTCTTTAAAACGACCGACATTAATGGTAGCCAACATTGCTTGTTAAGAGACTCCACTAATTTTTACCCTTTTTTTTTCACTTTTCTTCTCTTTTGTGTCTGTTTTCTTTTTTCGTTCTTTTTCTTTTTTTGTGTGTGTGTGTCACGCTAGTTTATTGAAGTCACGCTAGTTTATTGAAAAGTTGATCACCAAACCTTTGGTGATTTGCAATAAGATACTCCCAGCAATTTTTTCCAATTATTTTTGCCTCCTTGAAGAAATGATTAAAGTGAGAAATATTTTCACTGAGAAACAACACATTTCCAAAAATCTACTATCCGTGTAAATGAAAGTCATTAGTATTAATTTTTCAACGGAAAGACAATCGAAGTGTATACGATTTTCAGAAGCTATTCTTAATAAAAATGAAAGGAACAATCGAAATTAAGAATTTGTAATTGTAAATGACTAGACGTTGAGCTACATTTGTGAAGACATGGAAAGTTCAGAGTGTTATGTTAAATTAACTGTGTTGATCTTTGTTGCAATCCATAAAGATTTATTCAAACAGAAAAAAAATTATTTATATACATATATATAAATAAAAAAAAAACTTACCCGACCACCCATATCCATTTTGGACAAGTCAGCTTCGTCATCACTGTCCACAATCTCACGGTTATATTCCTGGTAACCAGGATAGCACTCAGAGTAACTTTCAGATATAAAATTGGGGTCCTTCTCACGAGCATCCTTCTCCCTCAGCTGCTGAAGCCTCTGGTCATCCCTTTTGAAGACAGACCCTAAGCCCCTATCCTTCTCTTCTTGAGTCATCAAGCGTGGGTCCTGCAGCACTTCAGAACCAGGTTGCATATCATAAGCTTGCAAGTCCTGCTGCATGTATTGTTCCGCGTAAGCCATTTGTTCGCCATATTGGTAGTTCTGCCAATCCCCCTGGTAACCACCGGCCATTGCTTGTGCTTGCATAGCATCATATCCATTCTGGATTCAAACAAATGAAATATCATTTGAAAAACATTGACCAATAACAATTAGAAAAAAAAAAAAAAAGAGAGAAAATATGGAGCTCAAATGTATACTTCGGCAAAATGAATTGTTATTTACTAAAAATAAATGACAGATAAAGAGGGAGAGGATAAATTAAAAAAACTAATCCTGAAGCTACGAACAGTTACAAAGAGCGCTTAATAAACACCCTTTCAAACTCGAATTTACCACACAAAATCTCTTTTCGGGGAACAGTTTTGTAAAAGAAAAACAAATGTGGTTGTAATTTTGAATCCACAATAGTAGTGTTAGTAATTAACTAAATAGGTATTGTTTTTGAGCTAATAACTACATTCACACTAACCCCTTGTTGCCAATCATGAGATAGTTCGGCCGGCGGAACCGGACCATATGCAGGTTCAGCAAAGTAGGAATTTTTCTCTTTAGTTCTAGGAGATTCTTCCATGTCCTCCGAGACTGGGCTCTGGCTCATATCTTTACCGGCAATAGGATAGTCTATGCCTGCACCCACAAAAATATCATCCTCCTCTTTCCTAACAGAGCTCATTTCCTGCTTCTCTTTCGGGTCATGGTGCTTCCTTTTGGGAAGAGGGGGAGGT